TCCAGAATTGTAGGACCCACCGGAACTTGTGCTTTTCTGGCCAAATTTTTGAGACCTGGAGGCTCCCTTCCTGCCCCACGGTATTGGAGGTTCTTGGAGATGGGAACATCAGGGGAATAAAGTAATGAATTTGCAGCTACCAGGGCAGGAAATCCACCAGGCTACCATAGGAGTAATGGTTTCTTGCTCCTACATAGATCTGTTTTATGAAGTTTTAAAGCCCTCTTCTTTATGGGTGAGAATCATCCAGTGGTTATTGGTTATTTGTTTTCTTTGTTGTTTTTGTTTTGTTTTGTTTTGTTTTTGTTTATTTGTTTTTCAAAAAAGCCAAAGGTTTTTTACAAATTGACTTAGATTTTCTCTGCAGGTCCCTACTTCTTCAAGTGCCTGGATAATAGACTCTGGCCTGAATCTCCATCATTCCTGGTTTCCAAAATAATACCACCTCCTTCTTGCCAGCAGTACTCTTTCTGTCATCCATCATCCTCCAGATCATGTGATAATATGAATTTGCCTATGTGTCCAGAGTCTTTCAGCATCAGGATCTTTTTTTTTTTCATTGCAGTGTTTCAAATTAAGTAGAATAGGATTGATTTGCTTTATGTTTTAGCTAAATAAGTAGCAGAAAATACTTATTTCATTGATGCCTGATTTCTGTTTCATACTCTGGCAAACCTTTTGCATTAGTAAATGAAATTTCCTTCTACATAGAGAAAAGCCAAGGTACTGTTGTTTTTGGTGTGCTAGTTGCATTCTTTCTGGTTATTAGTAGCGAGCTAGAGACAAGTACTTAAAATTCCTTGAGCAGGAGAGCTTGGCCACTAAGATATGTATTTGTAATATTCATAACTGAAAATTTTGCATATAAAAACAGTTGATGACTAAATAATTATCTGCTATTTCATTCCCCTAAGGGTTTATCTTGAAAACCACATGACGCTTAATAACCAAGTTTATAGCTATTCTGCGTATGTCTAAAAACCAAAAGAATCAAAATTAGTTTATTCCTTGGAATCATAGTACACTTACCATTTAAGAGATATGTAAAGATATGGAATCACCCATGGCAACAAGGAAGATGACAGGAGGCCTATGGTGCCTCATTGGGAAGCATGGGCTGGGGCTTCCATTTGGTGGCTAATGAAAAGCCAAGCCTATGGCAGTGATATCCTCACACCAGCAGAGGTGTGTATTTAGAAGAGAATTGTTACATCTTTTCCACTGGCACTACATGGGTCTTTCTTGGTTTACATTTATAAAACCATATCTTCTCATTACTAGATAAACAAAGAGATAACAGTGCAGAGTAATTCTATTTTTTTTTGTTTGTTGTCTGTTTGTTTTTTTTTTTTTAGGCAATTGGGGTTAAGTGACTTGCCCAGGGTCACACAGCTAGTAAGTGTCAAGTATTTGGTCTGAGGCGGGATTTGAACTCAGGTCCTCCTGACTTCAGGGCTGGTGGTCTATCCACTGCACCACCTAGCTGCCCCTGTGCGGAGTAATTCTAAAGTAATCTCTAGGAAAGGGTTTTCTAGTCACCTCCAATCTTCCAAAGCATCCTTCAATCTCTTGCCTCATATCACCTGTAAATATCCTCCCTAGCACCAGTGAACAGTATCAACATATACAGTCAAGCACACTTATTGTGTGCCAGGCATTTTGCTAGACATTCGGAATACAAAGATGCCATCGAAACAGTTCTTGCCCTTTGAGGAGCTTAAGATTAGGGGGAGACATTATATTCATTTATCAGTAATATGTACAAAATCTATAAATGAATGCAAGGTAATTTGGGAGAAGAAGATACTAACAGCTCATCAAGAAAGACTTCAGGTAGGAGATGGCATTTGAGCTAAGCTTTGTAGGAAATGAGGTTTTCTAAGAGCTTAGGGTGAGGAAGACATGCATTCCAGTCATGAGTGACAACCTCTACAAAAAGAAACAGGCAAGAGATGGAATGTCAAGCATGAGTAAAAGTAAAAGGGAGAGACTTCTTCTGTCTGCCTCTGTTCTTGCTGTCATCCCCTTGTTCAGCAGAGGGAGTGGGGGAGTGTTGACACATGTGGGAGTGGGAGAGAGATGTGGGTTGGGAGTAGACACAGGTGTGGAGGAAACCAAAAGCAAACAAGGGTTGACTTTGTATGGACAGTCCTGAAGTGTGAAGTGTTGGGTTCATAGTTTAGAGCAAGAAGAGTAGAATTGAAGAATAGATGAGGTGTTTGAAGTTTTTTGTTTTTAAATCTTCTGTGCATTGGCTGGTACCCTATGTCTGGCCATGTAGACTGTCATTAGCAGAAAGGATCTTTGAAACAGGAAGCAGGCAGAGCAAGCTGATGGGAGCTCGGAATGACCAGATGTCTCTTTCTGACTGAAGGTCAGCCTTGAGTGAGGCACACTTTGATTTGATAACCCGATCTTTAAATGACCACCATTACAAACAAACTCCACCTGGGCTTCAAGCCAAAGATGGGTAGAAGGATAAAGGCATACCATTGGGTTGAGATCAATGTCCATCACTTTGGATGGTACAGTCTTGAAGATGGAGACAGTCAAAGTCTGGTGTTATGTCCATTCTGAAGAGTTCTGATAGGTTGCTGCAATCATTTAGAAAAGAGGCCAGCAAATGATGGCCTATGGGCCAAAGCTAAGAAGGGTTTTTACATTTTAGTATTTTACTTATTTGTTTTTAATATTTTATTTAAAAATGTAAAGACCATTCTTAGCTAGCAAGCTGTCAGGAAATAGGTTGAAGACTGGATTTGGCCCATGGGCCATCATTTGCCAACTCATGATACAGTTTTGATAGGAAAAAAAAATCACTCCATGATTCTGATTCACCATCAACGACAATTATGCATAAATCATGGCACTGTGCTAGGTCATTAGAAGTTGACAAAATTTCGCATACTCCCAAGTCTTCAAAAACCTCACAATAGAAGAGAGGGAGTGATAAACACCAATAATAATAGATGCATAGGTCGGTAGCATTCAATCAATCAGTAAACATTTATTAAGCACATACAATATGCCAGACACTTCACTAAGTTCTGAAGATATAAAAAAGAGGCAAAAGATAGCCCCTGTCCTCAAGGAGGTTACAATCTAATAGGGAAGGCAAAAAACAAACAAACAAACAAATATATACAGATAAACTACATACATGATAAACAGAAAACAATTAACGGAGGGAAAGTATGAGAACTAAGAAGGGGTGGGAAAGACTGCCTGGAGAAGGTGGAATTTTAGTTGGGACTTAAAGGAAGCCAGGAAGGAGGGAGGTCACTAGGCAGAGCTGAGAAGGGAGAGCTTGCTGGGCAGGGGTGACAGTCAGAGAAAGCGCTCACAGCAGAGGGATGGAGAGTCTTGTTCATGGGATAGCCAGGAGGCCAGTGTCACTGGATTGAAGAGAAGAGCACACGTCCTGTAGGGAAATAAGATGTGAGGAGACTGGACAGGTAGGAGGAGGCCAGGTTACGAGGGGCTTTGAATGCCAAGCAGAGTATTTTGTATTTGATCCCGTAGGCCATAGAGAGCCACTATGTGTCATTACCTGTCATAAGGTACATAAAGGTAACCTGTCCGGTGAATATGATTTCTTATATGTAATGAAATTAGTCCTGTCCGTATGTATATAGATGTGCCATAACGAGAGGCAGGCTGGCCTAGTGATTGGGGATTCCCTGTTCCTCGTGCACGCCATCTTCCTTCTCTGCGTCTTTGTGGTGGATATCCTCTAAGCCGCGTGCTCTTCCTTCTCTGCGTCTTTGTGGTGGATATCCTCTAAGCCGCGTGCTCTTCCTTCTCTGCGTCTTTGTGGTGGATATCCTCTAAGCTGCGTACTCTTCCTTCTCTGCGTCTTTGTGGTGGATATCCTCTAAGCTGCATGCTCTTCCTTCTCACTTTTTGCCTTTTACATTCCCTGACTTCCCTTCCTTTCTCCTGAAAACTCCCCTTGAAGACTTAGGTTGAATACCTCCTTCTCCAACAGGCCTTCTCCAGAATCTCCACAGCTGCTAGTGCCTTCCCCTCTGAGATTTCCATCCGCTCCATATATGTCTTATATGCATGTCATCTATTTCCACGTTTATCTCTTTACGTCAGAAAGTGAGGACCGTGATGACAAGGACTCTTTTTTGCCTTTCTTCGTGTGATGTTCTGAGTTTAGAACAGTGCTGGGCACACAGTAAACACTTCCTACCTCCCTATTGGCCAACTAGCAAACCAGCCTGGCCTCCAGGTAGTTCTGCATTTAAGACTCGCCCTTGATACCTCCTGGCCGTAAGGCTCAGTTTTGGGACGGGTGCCCATCTGTACTGATGGAGAATCCCACCCATGCCCACATTCCATTGCCAAGAAGGGAGAAAGGTACACGTTCTCATCTCTTGCCTATTGTAGTTACACAATATTCAGTGTTGCTTCTTTTGATCTTTCCATTCGCACGGCTGTAGGCCTTGTGTATATTGTTTTCCTGTTTCTGCTTATATCACCCAGCATCAGTTTATGCCAATTTTCTCCTGCATTTTTCTTTAAATTCTTCATATTCAGAATTTCTTGACACCATAATATTGTTATATTCATGCACCAGAGCTGGCTTAGCCTCAATCAAGGCTACCTACATTCTTTCTAATTCTTTTCTACCACAACGAATAGGGCTGCTATGAATACTTAGGGTGCATATGGTGCCTCTTCTATCCTTGATTTCCTCATGATATAGGCCTAGAATTGGTCATTTATTTTTGAAATTGCCCTAAATTTTGTGTTTTTAAATACTAGTCAGAGGTTGCATACTGTCTCTGTTAACTTACCTTTCAGAATCTTTCCTCACTTTCCCTGTCCTACAGATTCTTTTTTTTTGGGGGGGAGGTCCCATAGATTCTTTTGTCAAATATACCCAAGATTTTATAGGAAGAAACTTTCAGTTTCTGTAAAATGCATATTGTCATTTCTCAAATGTACCAAATGAAAGAAAAGTAAAATGTAAACGTTTCTATTTTTCACAGATTTTTTAAAGAATTAGAAGAAAGACACCAAAATAATATCTTCCTAGACGATATAAGTGACATTGTAGAAAAGCATACAACATCCACATTTGATCCATATATAAAATACTGTACAAATGAAGTCTACCAGCAACGGACTTTACAAAAGTTAATGTAAGTAACATTTGTTGTGTTTGCAAAACACTGATCTACTTTTAAAGCTTAAAATGAGTGAGGAGGACTACCTTGGTTAAAATGGTTTTAGAATTGTTTTATATTTATTAACTTTATTAAAAATATTATTAAAATAATTTATATTTAATATTTTAGAATCCACCTCTTGGTGTGAAATGTGAATGAATGGATGAATGAAAAATCATTGATTAAATCCTTATTATGTGCTCACTACTAGGTATACAGTACCAAAAGCAAAAACAATCCATGATCTAGGAGTTTATATTCTCCTGGGGAGATAAAGCAGAGCCACCAAAAGAGGCACTGGAAAATTATAAGAATGGGAAGTGGGGCTTTGGGGGAGTAAATTAGCACACCCCATCCAGGACCATCGAAGCTGGATTGGTCATGGTTCATGGTCCCAGAACTTGGGGAAACAAGGTCGAAGAAAAGGTACCCGCATGAGGGCAAAGGAAGGGGAGATGGCCAAAGTCAAAAATGAAGGGAAGCTTGGCTGGAGCTATTTGTTAATCAGGTGAGCATGACTCTAGAATAGGGGTTTCTCTAGAGCAGGAAGGCAGGTGTTAGACGGCAAGAGAGCAAAGAGAAAGTGTCCAAGTAGGAGATCGAGAGAGTAAGGAGAATAGCTTCTAATAATATATTATGGAATCTCAGAATTTAGAGCAAGGAGACATCTTGGAAATCATTCAATCCACCACGCTCATTTTATAAATGGAAAATGAAGACCACAGGGGTGGAGTGAAGCCATTCTAACTAGTACTAGGCAGGACAGCAACCCTGCTGTGGGACCTTGGGAGCCATGTAGTTTAACTCATCCTTTCTATACTTCCAGATGAGTGATCATACCGTCTTTGCCCTGGTTAGGGGAAGCCCATTCATTACCTCTCAAGGCGCCCAGTGCATTTTTAGGTTTCTCTAATTTTTCACAACTCATTCCTTATGGTTGACTGAAGCTGCCCCCTCTTCGATATCATAGGCTGATAGATTAGAGCTGGAAGGGCTTTTAAGAGATCTTTAAGGCCAACCTCCTCATTTTACAGCTGAGGAAACCCGAATCCAGATATGCTAAATGATTTGCCCAATGTCACACAAAGACAAGAGAGCCAGCATTTGAACTCAGGTTTCTGACCCCCATGTGTTTTTTTCCTATTCCATCGTACTGCCTCTCTCTTATACCTGTTCCTCAATTTCTGCTCTATAGGTTCAGAAAGAACAGCTCAATCACCTCTCTTCCACTAGATTATATGCGATTACATGGACTTAGGGGAAAATATTGTTTCACTTCAGTTGACTTGGATGGGAGGCAATGGGGAAAAATAAATCACTTCTTGATTTTAAAAAATTCTGTTATCCCAAGGAAGTTCTGCATACGATTTGATTGTGCATTTGTACACATGTAATCAGATGCCTGACCCAGCCCAGCTGATGAGAACTCTGGCTTTACATTCCTGCCAGGTCTCTCTTGTCATTTTTTAGGAAAGGTTTTTATCATGTTATTCTCAGGGGCCTGGTGATGATTGCACAAGGAAGCGTTGCCACACTTTGGCTTCTTCCCTTGACTTGCATCTCAGATGTGCATGCCTCCAGTCCCATTTTAGGGAGAGTGCTGCCAGGACTGATCTGTCTGCATGCTTTCTCCCAGGATACTGGGCGTTTGATTCCCACAGCACAGGGCTCTGGCAGGCTTCCATGCAGACCAGGTGTGTGCGGTGGGTGGGTGTGAGGATTATCTTCCAGGGGCCCTATGTGGAGATAAAGGAGCCCCTTTTGGTAGGGAGGGCTGGCTCTGGCCCTTCATATACAGAAAGATGTCCTTGGGGAGAGGGAGGGCTGGAATCATCCCCAAACCACTGCCATACTCAAAGAAGGAGATTCTCCAAAAATAATTGAAAAGCTCTCCATGGAAAATCAATCGCTATGCTTCCTGACCTTATTTCTAATGACTTGTGTAAGTGCCCCTCCCCTTTCCTGACTTCTGATGTCTTGTTGAAGCTAGTGCAAAAGACAGAGCTTAAAATCTCATAGGTATATTGGTAATTTGGGGGAGGAATTGTAAAAAAAAAAAAGTCAGCAAGATTTTGAAAGCAGGCCTCTGGACTTCAAGTCCTGCTTTCACTGTACCATGTCTCTTTTCCTCTTTGGAATTTTGGATTCTATTTTAAAATCCTTTTAAAAAAACCCTAGAAATAGTTGATGCTTTATCTACTAAAGTAAAAATGATTCTTTTTAATCTCATAGACTTGTTGGTTTCTTTTTGTAAGTGCATTATTCCAGTTCAAAGCAGATCAAACAAAATGTTTTGCTTTCTTAAAAAAAATAATGGTAATTTTTTTTTAAAAATATCACTTTTATTTCAGAGTTTTTCTGTCTGTCCTCCTCTCCAAAGAGAGTCATCCCTTGTAAGAATAAAAAATGAAAGAGACTGATAGGAGGAGAGGGAAGGGAAGGCAAGTTTAGCTAAATACACAAACCAAGTCTGACAGAAGGGAGATGCGCTTTCTCCTCTTTTCTTTGGGGCTCAGTTTTAGTATTATAATTAGAAAGCTTTCTTTTGGAAGCTTTGCATTTTGTTTTGTTTAATCCACTACATCAGAAATTTCTCACTTTAATTTTTAATGAACTTCAATGAGGAATATTATTGTTCTTTTTTGTTTTTCAAAGGGGAAATTATCATAATCAGCATTACTCCCACTTCCCAACTCTCCCCACCATCCCCATCTGGTCATAACAAGAGGACTACCTAATCTGAAATCTTATAAGAACCAAGATCAGAGATTCAGAGATTGAGAATTGGAAGAGACCTTGAGGTCATCAAATATAACCCCTTAATTTTACAGATGAGGAAACTGAGGCCCAGAAAATGTAAGTGACTGGGCCAGGGTCACGGAACTATAAATGTCCAAGTTCAATACTTCATCCACTATAGAATGCTTACTTTTCAAGTCTTGTTTTCTCTTAGCCTCAGTTTCCTTATCTGTAAAACAGAGATAATAATAGCATCTAACTCAGAGTTTTATGAGGATCAAAGAATATAGAGTATGTTGAAAAATCTTAAGGCATGAGTTATTAGCACTCTTTCACTTAGCAAACGTTTAAAGATAACTGTGTTTGTGCCTTTAAGTAGCTTACAGTCTGTTGAGTATGATAGCAGGGTTCTCATCCACTGTTTTTCTCCTGGACTCTTTCACCAGTTGTAGGACAGACCTGTCAACCAGTTAATAAGCATTTATTAAGCACCTACAATATGCTAGGCATTCTGGGGATACACAGAATTAGAAGAATTACAAGAAAGATCTTTGAGAGCATCCCAGTCTTTGAAATGTGGTCATGGGGACTGTGGGAGGCTGGGAAGACTGCTGGCTGGCTGGCTGAATGAAGCTCTTCTGCCTTATGTTGGGAATCTGTTAAGCCATCTTCTTTCTTCATGTATATTGGTTCTCTTGAACAGGAGCAAAACTATGGGTTGAAGTATTATATTTGTGCAAATACAAATTTGGGAGGAGTTGCTTTAAACAGTCATTCTTCACAATGTAAATGGAATTCACCTCTAGGTGGGGACCAGTTAGGAACTGGGCCTGGCTGGTGCTGATTTAGATAAGTGGGGGAGGGGGAAGTGTTTACATTTAGAGCTATGGTAATCTCCATGGGAGGTACCACTCCGCTGATTGTTTACATTTTGCGGTCGGCTTTGGGGTCCCCTAGACTTGTAGCCCGAGAAAGCTTCCATAAAATCATGTTTTCTGTTATTCCATTTTGAAAGTCTTAGCAGTTAACTAATTAACTAATGTGGGGATTTTATATTTTAAAATTCATTATGAATGAGAGAGTGTTTCACTTTGTTATGTAGATATTCCTATTTGGCTGTTTATTTGAGGAGATAAAGTCAGAATGGATAGCAAATAATCTTCTGAAATTTTTTTGTCTTTCTTTTTCCCTTTTCTCAGAGCAACTAATCCATCTTTTAAGGAAGTATTATCTCGGATTGAATCCCAAGAAGAGTGTAGGAATTTACCTATGATCTCTTTCCTCATTCTCCCCATGCAGAGAGTTACACGTCTTCCCTTGCTGATGGATGTAAGAAACTAATTTTATTTTTTTAAATTTCACCCTTTGTATTATGATAGAAGAGACTTTACTATTGGGATTTAGGGAGTGTACTTCCTAGACATGTTTGTGAAAATGATGAGAGACATTTGTCCTTATTCAGTAACAAGCTGCTACATGGAAGGAAAATCTTAGTCTGTATTGGGTTTTCTCTGGCTATCATCTTCAATGCAAGCAATATCATGGAATCATGGACTTTGAGATTTGGAAGGGACCTCAGTGGTCGTCTCATCTAGTCCATCTATGAAAGGAATCACCACTCTAATATTCCTGACACATGGTCAGCCAGCCTCTACTGGAAGAACTCCATGGAGGAAGCCCATTCCATTGGAGGACTACTCAAAGTATGAGGAAGTTGTTCCCGACATAGACCTTCAATTCACCTCTTTGCTGCTTAAGTCCCTTGTCTTGCTTCAGCCCTCTTGGTACCATCATAGTACCAACTCTACTCTCTCCTTCATATTACAGCCCTTCAAATACTTGAAGACAACTATCTATAACTATAATTGTTATTAACTCTACCTGTTCCTTCTAGTCTTCTCTTCTCAGAGACTCATACTGACTCATATGGCAAATGTGTGGAATCAGGTTCCCTCTGGTGACTTTCAATTCATTCATTCATTCATTCAACTACTCACATATTCATTCTATTTCTATACCCAAGGAACACTCAAGAGTCTCTTATGTACAAGGGATCATTTATTCTTCAAAGTAGAAAGGGCAGTGGCCTTGGAGTCAGAACAGTTGGGTTGGAGCCCTAGTTCTCCTACAGTCAAACTGTGAAACTTTGGTTAAGTCACTTCTTTGGTTCTTAGTTTTCTCATCAATAAAAAGAAAGGAATGACTTAGATTGTCTTTAAGGATTTGTCTAGTTCAAATATTCTTTGCTTTGAAGGTGCCAGTACTAGGGGCTCTGGTACTGAGGATATAATGTATAGAATAAATGATTGTTCCTCAAATGTAGAAAAATAGGCATTAAATGCTAAAATGTTAAACAGTTGATAAAAAAATGTGAAAAATCAGAAGCCAAGGTAAAATAAACACCATCCCTTTCTTAGGATGCTGTCTTGGAAAAGATGAGCATGAAATTGTCTTTTGAATAAAAAAAAAAAAGAATGTAACTTGGTGAAAACAGGAGAATGTACCAGGGGATTGATCAACATTGGCTTTCCTTATTGGGTCAGAGATTGTCAGAAAAAATGGGCAGAGCAAGTAAAGATAGGAAAGACTGGTCCAGACCTGAACAGAACTGGAAGCTGGTTTCCTTCTTGTTAATTATTCTTGTTTTCCCAAGTGAAATAGTTTATTGCTCTTCATAATCCATCTTAATGGCAAATTCTCCCAGTAAGCAAGCATCATTTAGGGCACATTCACTTTTTAAAGTTCAGGATCTGGCACACAGAATTTTACAGAGAATCCCAAAGTAGAGATATTGCTTGCTTTAGGCAATGTATCTGTTCCATGAGAGTTGGCTCTAAAATGAACCCTACTTTCCCACGGACCACCAGCCCTAACATGCATCCAGCGAACATTTGTTGAGTCATCGTTACATGTGAAGCACGGTGCCAAGCACCATGGACAATTGCATATGCCTGATTTCTATTGTCAGTTAAGATTTCTTCCAAAGAAATGAATTACAAAAGCGAAAGTTGGAAATGAACTCTTTTAAGTCTTTAAAGGCAGTGTTGTAGGTCGGAATTGTGAAGAGGTACATCTGGGTTTAATGTAAGGAAAAAAGCTGGGAAATAGGACTGAATTTGTGATTTCTTTAGAATTAGGAATTTCTAAGTGAGGAATGATCCTCAGCTAACGCTGGTTATCATCTTCTCTTAAACTTACAGTCTTGGGAGTTGCCTAGACTATTGAAAGGTTAAATGACTTACCTAGGGTATTTAGTGTGTGTGTGTGTGTGTGTGTGCATTAAAGGCAGAACTTGAACCCATATCTTAAGGGTATGAAGCTAGGTCTCTATCTATTATGCTAATAATTGCGTCTGTCCAAAAATGGAATGGAATGCCTGAGGGCACATTGGGTTTCCCAGAGTTGAAGGTTTTCCAAACAAGGCTAGATAACCACTTGCCCAGAATCTCATAGAACACAGGTCCAGTACAGATTAGACTAGATGACTGCTGAGTTCTCTACTGACTCTGAGATTCCATGAAAAGAAAACGTGTACTTTGCACAGAATAAATAGATTGATTCTAAATATTGATTTTGGGCTCTTACAAAATGGCTTTCTGTTGACATGTAATAGTTATATCTTCATTTTCTGGAATTCTGTTCTTAGATGACAAATTTCTATCTGTTTACCCTTTTTCTTAATGTTGCACTTCTGAATAATATCAGTCAAGCTATCAGTAAGCATTTATTACTCACCTGCTATGCACCACACATTGTACTGCGTACTAGAGATACCAAAACAAAGAAAGGAAAAAGCTCTACTTGAAAAGACCTTACTGTGCATGGTTTGGTTTTGTTTTTTAATCTTTCTTGTTCATCAATACTTTTTACTGAATGTGTTTCCCAAGATAAAACATAACTTGCTCTTTAACCCCATGTTTACTTGGAGTGACTGAACCAGCATTAGGATTATGGTCTCTTGAAGTTTACAAACTGAAGAAAACCATAGAGGCCATCCATCTAGGGCTGATGAAAAAAAGGAGAGTATTCTGACTCTGTAAACTGGGGGCTTTTAATCTTTTTTTGTCTCATGGACCCCAGTGGTGGTAGTCTGATAAAGCCTTCTCAGAATAATCTTTTTAAATGCATAAAATAAAATACATAGTATTACAAAGGAAATGTTGACCTACAGTTATATAAATATTAAAAGACTGCTGTATCTCTGATACTTAGTCTGCCTTTTTCCCCTTGCCTCAGGATGGCCCAAAGCAGTCTTTGGTGAGGATTGTGCCGGTGAGGGAAAGAGACCTTCTTATTTTGGAAAGTGTTCTTCCATGATCCTCACCCCTGCACCTAAGACAGTGGTCCATCTGGCCCGTGCTTTCTCTAGCCCCTACCTCATATCCTTATTTCCAATACAGGAATTACTGGAGAAAACTTCAGTCTCAGGGATGCCTTTTTTTGAGAAGGTGTGGCACCGTGGCCCAGAAAGTGCCATCGTTACATGGAAAGGCATCACATTTGAAGATGCAGAAAACCGATTTTTGCCCTTAATGTACATCCCCTAATCTGGGAACCTCCCATCTGAATTCTCAGCTCAGGTGAGAGAGTCTGACACCTGTTCATCCTCCCTTAAGTCAGGCCTCTCTTGGTTCCCCTCTTACTTGAAAGCTAACTTCATTCCCGCTCTTCTGCCACTGCCTAAACTCTGAGGCCTCACTTAGAAATCTGGCAACATTAGGGAGGCAGCTAGGCATCTCAGTGGAGGGAGCCCTAGGCCTGGTGTCAGGAAGACCTGAGTTCAAATGTGACCTTGGACACTCACTAGCTGTGTGACCTTGGGCAAGACACTTAACCTCTGCTTGCTTTAATTCACTGGAGAAGAAAATGGTAAACCTTCCAGTATCTTTGCCAAGAAAGACCCATGGACAGTATGGTCCATGAAGTCACAAAGAGTTAGACATAGCTAAATAACTGAACAAACAAATAAAATGCTAGCGAAGTCAGAATCTGCCTATGATATTTTCACTTTGCTTTTATTTAATTTAGGAATTTAGCTGAAATGGCCAAATAAAGTAAAATAAAAAATGTGTTGCAACAGTTTAATTACATCAGTGGTTTTTGTTTGAGTTGAATTTTCTTTTTTTGGTTGATCCTTACAAGATAGGAATGTCCAAGTGTGTGAGCTCTGTCCCCTTTACTCAAACCAGCCTCCTTTGAGACCCAAGTGCAAGTCATGGTGTACAGTATAAATGTGCTAAAGACCATCTCACCTGTTTTCTCTTCAAATTTTTCTTCTCATCATATATTTTATTACCTTTACTTGCATCTTGTGCTTAAAGATATTCAAAATACCAAATAGCTTTTTGTTTGAATGTCATTTTCATATTTGCTGCAGCCCTTTTCAGACCACATGAGTCAATGGAGATTTATTCTGTGTACAGAGCTAAGAAGGTGGGATGGTGTGGGGGACAAAGGGAGGGAAGGAGATCTAAAAGGTGATATAAACTACAGCCCCTGTGATGATAACTTTATTCGATGGCAATCCACATGACAAGTGCATTGGACAGGGCCCAGCCTTGACTACCCAAGACTAATGTTACCCCATCACTTCTTCCTCCAAGTGCAGAAGGAAGCACAGGTTTGTGGGTATGGCCACCATATTGATTCATCATGTTTGGCTGACCTTATTTGTTCCAATTTTCTATTGTAAGGAAGAATCACTGGGAAGTGAAAATGGTTTTAAAAAATAAATGCTGTCCATGTTGTCCTGCCAGGGAGGGGTTGGATTCACCATTCATAATGAAACCTATTTTTCAGATATGACTAATAGAGAAATTTGTTTTGCTTAACTACATATATTTGCCGAAAGAGTTTTGTTCTTACTTTTAATGTTGGTGGAAAGGGAAACTTTTTTTTAAGTGATATTGGGGGAAAAAAAGGAAAAAGCATCAACCCAACATTTACAGAAGGGGGAAAATGCAGCACAGTGTAGGGTACTTTGCTAGAGAAGGGCAACACAAAGTGAAGAGGAGAGATCCTGAAGGCTGGAGTTTGGCATTCAGGGCTTACTCTGGATTGACATAGCTACTATTTTTAATGTATTAAAACCAATGAACATTATTGACTTCTAATTCATTCCAGACCATCTGTCAGAAAACACCTAAAGATTCACCAAAATATGAAGTTTGCAAACGGGCTCTGAAAGAAGTGAGCAAGGTAGGACGTTGAAAACTTTACCAAATGGTCCATGGTTCAAGTACTTTGGGGGAAGGGAATTTATTCCACACCTACTAGGTGCCAGGCACTGTGCTAAGTGCTTTATAAATATGGTCTCATTTGTGCAGTTATTGGTGGTGGTTGTGTTAGCTTGCTGACTTTCAGGAACCTGGTACTGTTTTCTTTGTTTATGGAATCTCCCAGATATACCCAACTGTGAGGCACCATCACTACACACGCCTTTATTAAGCATTTACACTACCATTTCACTGAACTGAAGCAATCCCTGCTCTCAAGGAGCTTACATTCTATTGGGGGAAACAAGTACATAAAGATGTGTGTATGATATATGTGTATATAGATTATACTAATGCAAGATATAAGCAGAGTAGATAGAAGGTTAATGTGGAAATGGGTGGTGAGGACAGGGCAACTAGTAGCTTATGGGATTGAGAAAGGCCTTCTGTAGAAGGTGGAATTTGAACTCAAACTTTAAAGAAGCCAGGGATTCTAGAGGTGGAGGGGAGGAAGGAGGGCATTCCAAGCATGGGAGATATCCATGAAATAACTGATGTAAATTACTTCATAGACCTAAAATCTGTTTATAAACATCAGCTACTGGTATTATCAATATTATTACTACTTTATTATCAATATAATTATTATCATTAATTTTGCCAAGTATGCTTTCCTCTGTAACTTCAGGGACAGCTGCTGGTGCTGCATGGGCTGATCCCAGAAAACCCATCCAGGTCTATGAAATCCAATGAGTCAAGGATTAGCAATCTATGCCCAAGAGCCAATTGTGCTGGATTGCTAGCTGTTACAACTAGACGCTGCCCTGAGCCCTCTCTGAGAGGTCATTGGAGCCTGGCTATTCATCCTTGGGAAATGTCAATTTTTTTTCCTTCCTTCCCTCAATTCCTTCAAGCAGTGGATCAACAAACATTTAATAAACATCTGCTGTGTACCAGGCACTACACTAAGAGTGGCAGATACAAAGGCAGAACTGAAGCTATTCCTGCCCTCAAGGGACTTACATTCTATTGGGGGAAATAGAATGTTCACATATAAGTAAACACAAATATATACAAATTAAATAGTAGTTAATTCTGGAGAGGGGAAGGGGGTTATAGCAGGAATGATGCAAATGCCAGTTCTCTTGACTAGAGTCCACAGCTTGGTGTTTATTTAAGCCAGAAGACATGCTTCCTGCAGAAGAAATTGGAGAAAGTCTAAAAACATCCTGAGCATTTAAATTGATTGTCTTCCTGCCAAACATCTCCAAATACTCTGCTTAATAAAAATTCAGATTGTTTTGGTATCTATTAGAAATCCATTTTAAAAGGTTTTGTCCTGTAGATTTATATTTTTTTAGCCACGACTTGAAGTGGGAGGGAAAAAGAGAAGCTTCTAAGGAATCTTAGCATTCCATCAGAAAATTAGGATTCCAGCTATGTGAGGCTGGAGGGACCAGGAGAGGTCAATTGATCTGCCTGACTGTCTTCTATCAGATGGATGTCAAAACCAGTTAGGAGAGACGTTTGCTGTCCACGTTCTTTTAGAGGAATTCCAGACACCTCCGGCTGCTCTATTAGCCACATTCTGGTGTTTTCTCTGCCTGAGAGAAGCTTACAAATTGGGCAGCAATCTCAGAGGTCATTTGCACCAGCTTGTAGCTGACTTAGGACCCCTTCTTCAGTATCCCCCCGAAGCGGGCATCTCACCTCAGGGAAGGAGAAGCCGAGTATCTCCCAAGAAGCCTCTTTCTCTTGAGAACAGTTGTGATTATCAGGGCATCATTCCTTAAATCAAGTATAAATTTGCCTCTCTGAAACTTCTATCTAGTGTCCTAATTCTGTTCTTTAGGACCAAGAAGTAGCATATTAAGGGTGGAAGAAAAGATCGCCAGTTGTTGAATTTTAATATGCTAGTTAAGAGAAGTCCTTGTGATGGTTTTATTCTGGAGGCCAAACAATTCTACTTGCTGTCCTTGTTCTTCAAAGGCTGTTAGCCCACATATTTTAGTCATGAACAAACATTTTTTTAAGCACCTATTAAGTGTCAGGCACTGTGCTAAGCACTGGGGATACAGAAACAAAAGAGACAGTCCATGGCCTCAAGGAGCTTCTATTCCACTTTGGTAGACAATAAGTACTGGGGTATGAATCACACTTCCTTGGCATCTCTTTAATGTCTACATGATCCTTTTTTTTTTTTAAAGCATAATGTGTGACTCTTTAATAGACCCAAAAGAAGGAAATAAGCATTTATTAGGCTCTTACTGTGTGCCAGGCATTGTGCTAAGTACCAAGGCTACAAATACTAGAACCAGATAGACAATCCCTGCTTTCGGAAGCATACATTCTAATGAGAGAAGATAAGATACAGAAGGCAAGGGAAAAGGGGGGTGGGGTGGGGATTGTTCGAAGTCCAAGTTAAGATCAGATACCCTCAGTGATGACTCATCTCTCTTTATGTCATAAGAGCACATTTGATCTTTGGACTCAAGCAAAGTTCATTTGGAGTCAGGTCTGATGGATTCATTGGGTGATGTAGCACTACAATGTTCTCTTTTGCCCTACCATCTTGGATGGATAATTGGTGGGACTTTAAGGTCAGGGGACTGGTTTTGTTTTCTTAGTTTGTGAGTCTGGAGTGGCTGTGATATCAAGTTCTAAACATGCTTAGTGCACTGCACCATTATAGGGCCAAGCGTGTGTTGCCCGAGCTCCATACACTCCAAATATAGCACTCTCGTAGACAAATGAGTTCTGATATGCAGTGGTCAAATTTCTTTCTGGCCCTTGCATGTTCCTTTTAAATAGACCTCAGTATCATGTTTGATTTTTTTCCCCCTAGTTCCATGACATCAGATTGCCAGGATCTAATCAACAAAAGTCTTGCAGAGATCCTAGCCACCTGTACACATTGCTGAAAGTCTGGTTTAGCCCAGGATACCGCCCCCTGGCCAATCGGTCAGACCTTCACATTTTGGTTATTATAAGGCAGCTGGTCACAATTGTCCTCATTTTCTAAGATGTGAGGAGAGAGCTTTTTCACTAAAATATAGGATATAACAGTTTTGGATTTGAAGTCAGATAATTCAAATTTTAAACACTGGCTTTGCTACTTCAAACTGGGTGACCTTGGGCAGTCCATTTCTACCTGTCTGTGCCTCAGCTTTCTCATCTGTAAAATAAATATAATGAGAGTTGGGCTAGTATCCCTGGGGATACAAAGAAAGAGAAAATCATCTCCGAATTCCAGGTAGAGTAGCAGTAGTAGTGGTAGTGGCAGCAGCATCAGCAGCAACACCGTCAGCAGTAGTAGCAGCAGTAGCAGAAATGATAGAAATGTGTGTGTGTGTGTGTGTGTGTGTGTGTGTGTGTGTGTCTATGTATGTATATGTGTGTGTACATGTGTGAGAGTGCATTTGTAGAGGTGACAGGTAAGGAGAAAAAGAATAGTTCTGTTGTCCAGAATAAATCCATTTTTTATCTAGGAATTCCCTTTTTTGTTTCATGAGTGGCAACACCCCTGATAGCCATGTCTAATTAGATTACACATGTTAAATGTGTATTCTTCTGTAGTGAGGAGTCTCATGGGAGTTGCATGAAGTGAGCATTTCCCAAAAGAAATTTGTATATAAAAGGGAAAATGAGCCATCTTAGTTAATATAGTTAATACTTAATGACTGATTTCTTCCTCTTTTCTCTAGTTGGTTCGTTTGTGTAATGAAGGGGCACGGAAGATGGAACGGACGGAAATGATGTACACAATTAATTCCCAGCTGGAATTCAAAATAAAGGTACCCTCATTTCTATTTGTAGCTTAGTATAGGCATGGGAAATGATGGAAAATGGGCTTTGCTTTAAGGATTTGTGGAAATGTATGGAGTTAACTGAAAGCAACAGAAATGATGACATTTTTACAGTGATAGCATTTGAGGAATGGAAAATTTTACTTTTCAGAGAAAGTGCTATAAATGATTACCCAGAAATTACCTAGAAAGGGTCATGCCTAGATTGTTAAAATTCCAAATAAACATAACATGATAGATGTGATGACATTTGACTAGTGATAACCAGCTGTAGGATCTTTGCTCAAGAAAAGGATAGAAAAGAGAATCTTTCCAGAAAGGTCTTTAGCAGGGAAGATGCCAAGTTTGGGGCAAAAAATTGAGAAAGATAGAATTTTAAAACTGAAAGTAACTTTTGAGATCATCTAATCCAGTCATTTTATAGATGAGAAAACAGAAGCTCAAAAATATAAAGAGACTTGTCCAAGATTACTCGGCTAATGAGTGGTGGTGTCATGACTGGAATCTGGAGCTGCCCCCCCCCCTTTCATTATTCACCACTGTCCCACTGTCCTTTTTTACTATTCCTTACCACACAGGGGAACAGGGTCATGCCAAGATTTTTTTTTTAATTCTAACTAAACATTGGCCAGTAAAGCCTTTTGTATATTTCAGATAAAAACTAGCAAACCACCTTTCCCAGAATTTGAAAGACAAGATCTCACACTCTTTTTGACTAACTTGTGCCTATATACTGTTTATCTTCTATCAGATAAATTGTTTTTTTTTTTGTTTTTTTTGTTTTGTTTTGTTTTTTAAAGGAAAGGATTGGGGGAGAGAATTTAAAACTCAAAATCTTATGGAAGTTAATGTTGAAAATTAAAATTAAATTAACTAATTATTAAGAAAAAAACCCTTCCCCTAAATTTGACCTTAAGAGTTGTAGCAGGAAAGTGCTCATTGAACTTGGAGTCAGAAGATTTGAATTCAAATCCTAAGCTTTACCCCCTAATACCTTCATGAGCTTGGGCCAATCACATAGCCAGTAACACCGCCCCCTGGCTGTCCCTTCATCTCCTTACTCTGCCAGCTGGATGTCCCCCATGCTTGGAATTATGTCTCTCTCCTCTTCACCTCCTTGTTCTTTTCAAGTCTCAGCTAAATTCCTACCTTCTGCAAGAAGACTTTCTCGGTCCTCCTTAACCTTACTGCCTTCCCTCTGAAACTACTCTTAATCTATCCTATATCTAGCTTGTTGGACATAGTTCTTTGCATATTGACTTCCCCACTCAGGGGTGTGCTGGTATAAATATTTAACAACCAACTTTCTGGAAAAAAAATAAAGTATGCATGACATACTGTTAAATTTAATCTCCACCACTTTCTTAAGTCTAGACAATCAACAGAGCAATAAATCAGGCTCTGATTTGTAGCATTTGTCAATTTCTGAGGTGTAAAAGCTCACATTGAAGATTTAACAATTGGTTCCAGCTGGCTCCAGAATAGCCTTGCCGTGGTTAGACTGTGAGCTCACTGAGGGCAGAGACTTTTTTTTTTTTGGCCTTTCTTTGTATCTCTAGTGCTTAGCACAATGTCTGGCACATAGCTCAATAAATGCTGCTTGACTGAATCTTCAAAAAAAAAAGGATTCTGAAACCTAACATTTCCCACTCCTTTCCCTTTCAGAACAATCAGCTACAATCCTTTCACCCCTTTTTCCCTAAAACCAAAATCCACCTTAAGATCACACCAGCTTCTTTCACAAGACCCAGAGCTAGATCACCTGGTAATGGCAGACCAGAAAGGGTTCCCTAATTTTCCTTAATTCTATGTAATGAACTGCATCTGGGTCAGAGCATCACTTTAGGGCATTTGAATAAGGTTCTCAGTGGAGATGTTGTAATTATGTGGGCTCCATTTAAATAGCAACAGAAGGAGACTTTGGGTCTTTCTTTGCTCCAGTTGAATATCCCACCTTGCTTCACTCTCCCATGAAATGAATTACTTCCTGCCTAGATTACTTTTTTAGTGTGTGAAACAAACAGGAAAGAAAATCACCTGAAGAAAGCTGTTCTTACCTCTAGACGCCTTTCCTCATTCCCAAAGGAGTTACTTAATCATATTTAGTGTCATTTTAATTCACACATTTCTTTGGTCACACTTGAAAAGACTCGATGAACCAAATGTTTTAGGGCCTAATTATAGCTCTCCCACAAACCAGTTAAGTGACCTGGAGTAAGTCATATCACCTTCCAAGGTCTCTGACTCAACTGCAAAATTAGGGGGCTAGACTGGATAATCACTCTTAAATTAAGCTATTCAAAACTGGCTCTCTGTCTGTCTCTGTCTCTTTCTCTCTTAGTAGTTTGTTATCTCAATTGTAACTGGATACTCTTGATTAGCTTTAGTATTTACCTTTTATCTGTCTATCTATCTACCTATCTGTCTATCTATCTATCTATTTATTGCCTGGCAAATAATAAGCATTTGATGAATGCTTTTCATTCATCAACCTTTTTATGTCTCAAAGTTTCGTTTTGGCCTTTAGATGATAATGTTTTTTTCTTTTTCATTTTGATGTTATCCTCTCATTATCCAGAGCAGTAAATTTCATCTCTACATTAGCAACCTTTAAGGCAAGTTATTTGTAATCAAGTAGAGATTCCCCCCACCTCAAGTAATAGTAGAGAAATGATGAAATCTATTTTTTCCCTTAGTTTGTACATTAAAATGTGTTTTTTTTGTAAATGGAGAATCATTTAAGATTTTTTTTAAATGATGTTTTTAGTTTTGTTTGCCCTCCAAACCATCCTGGGGATGCATGCTCTTGTAGATAAGACAGTTATCATGGAGTTTTGCTAGTAATTTACTGCTCTGAACAGGTCTAAACTCAATCAAGGGTTCTGCCTTAGGTATTGTTGTGCATGAGCTAGTAGAGACTTTGAGATTATCTGATTCAACTCCTTGCCCTTAGACAGAAGGTAGTCATGCCTTTGGTAGCCAATCCCAGTGGTTCATCTTCCTAAGAGTCCCATAGATTTTCCTAACATCCAGTAGAAATTTCTTCTTATCTAGTCCTTCACAAATGATAGAATATAACTGACTAGTTACCCTCTTGTCAAAATTTTTCAGATACTTTGCCTGTCTTATCGAACTTTCTCTCAGCCTTCTCTTTTCTAAGCTAAGCAGCTACAATTCTTCTAAGCTTGCCTCCTCGGCCAGTTTCCACCCCCTTAACAATATCGATCAGGCATCTCTGCAAAGTGATATTTGCTTCTAAGATGATCCATATTTTGTCACTCTAAGCCTTAGACTCTAAGGGTTCTTGCTTCTTTAAAGAAATTTGTTATTTTTTTTTTCCTCTTCTGCTTCCCATCAGTTTGTTTTGGCAGTATACCTTTTGTATGTTTTAAGAAATGAGTTCTCAGTGGTTGGAATTTTCCTGTGGTTTGAAAGTTTTCCAATTTTTTGAATTATCAGTATGTAATTCCCTGGCTCTGGCCTATCTTATATGAATAGAGTGGTTTATTCTGGAAGAAAAAGAAAGTTTGGCCTCTGAAGCTGGGAGAGGGCATGTTACATTAAAGGATTGAGCCCCCATGGGAGAAACTACCATTAAAATTTAAGAACAGGAGTTCTCAATAACATAACCAAATGGATATATTATAGGCAGATTAGAAAGGGATATATTCTTTTATATTGTTCATTAGTAAAAAGAATTGCATATGCCTTTTCAGCATACAAAATAACAGAGACTGTCATTTTAATTTAGTGGTTCTTACCCTGTTTTGTGCCATGGATGCTTTGGCAAAGCCTATGAAACCCTTCTCAGAATTATATTTTAAGTGCATAAGATAGAATATATAAAATTACAAAGGTATTCAATAATATTGAAATAGTTACCACATTTTTAAAGAAAAAAAAGTTTATGGAACTCAAGAATCCCTGTTTTAGTTTTTATGTATGGATTCTATTATTAACTAATTTATTTCTTTTCCCCCCCAGTGTGTCTGATTTGACATGTTCACATTTTTATTAGAATTTCATTTATTATTAGAATTATTAGCATTTGATTGCTAGAGTGACCACAAGGGTGGGTTAGGTGGCTTTATCTTTTTTATGTTTTTTCCCCGTCATTGGTCAATAGTTGGGTCACATTCTACTTGACTCTGACATTTTCTTAATGGCTTTCGATTGTACTGGAAGATGTCTCATAGTTTGTGCCTTGTTTTCTTCCTTTTCTTCTCAGAGGACAGACTGTGCTGGTCACATTTTATTACAGCGTTGTCATCACAATCCCCTTCCCGACACACTTGTGTAGCTCCTACTTACCAAGAACATTCTTCTCGTAATCTTAATATGCATCTCTGGCTGTCGTGTTGGTTTTAATTCATATTGCTGATGGCACTAAGATGGGACTCACATACTCATGTTCTTGTTCATTTTTCCCCTAGCCATTCCCTTTAGTATCGTCCTCTCGCTGGCTGGTCAAAAGGGGTGAACTGACTGCCTATGTAGAAGACACTGTGCTTTTCTCCAGAAGGACTTCCAAACAGCAGGTCTACTTCTTTCTCTTCAACGATGTTCTCATCATCACAAAGAAGAAGAGGTAAGGGATGATTCTTTGGACATGAAGCACATTTTTTCAACAGGCAATTTGTAAACACTTGTGGATTGATTGGCTGCTATTCAGGTAGCTAGTCGCCATGCCACTAGTTTTGTCCTTGTGGTTTTTCTGTAGATTAATCTGAACAAAAAATACATTTTGAAATTTCGCTTTCTGGCTTTAAAAGTGTTAAGCCATGAAATTCTAATTGGAATATATGACTCATAGGTTCAATCATAAGGCAACTTTCTTTCTTTCTTTCTTTCTTTCTTTCTTTCTTTCACAGAACAAAACAAGCAGCTTCTAACACTAACTTCTGAACTTCATCTTTTTTTCAAATTGAAACCATCCTAAAAATTGAACGAAATTATGTTAAAGACCAATTCAAACCAATGGTGATATTGCTTGATCCCAAACTTCTTCTTTGAATTTTGGATCCACTACGAGTAAGTCTTGTGGTTGGAAAGAAATCAGTAGACTTATCAAGTAGTTCCATTTCTAACTCCCTATCTGAGTGCTGTGAACGCACAACTTTCCAGGGGCAGGGATGTTGCCTTGGATGACAATGTCAGACTCCCCATGAAGAGCTTCACACCAATGCATTCCTGCATCAGTTCAGCACAACCCATATCAGGGTCTAGGAAACAATATCTCACACCCCCGTAGAGAGATAGCTGGGCCTCATGGACCATCTAGCCTTGAAAACCCTAAAAAAGGATGTGGCCCCAAGAAGGGCACAGCTGAACTGATGCATCATGCTTTCTTCTGTGCTGGAGGCAGGAGGTTCGGTATCATTATATTGGATCTCCCATCATCCACCCCTCAAATGTGGTATTACAGAAGAGTATACAGTAATTTTCATCTATATGTGCACAAATTTAATTAGATTTGTTTGTTAAGTGCCTGCTGCATACAAGGACATGCTAGGGGGCTGGGAATAAGAAGTTAAAATGATAATTTGATAATTGCCCTCAAGGAGTTTACATTCCACTGGGGAGATACAAGGTAGCCTGGGAGAGGAAAGAGTATTAATTATTGGATCAGGATGTGGAATTATCAGGCAAGGTTTCATAGAAGACGTATCATCTGAGCTGACCAAAGATGAGAAAGTCAGGGTATGAAATCACAGAATCTAAGATCTTGAAGGGAACATTTGGAGATCATCTAGTTCAATTACCTAATTTAATAGTCAAGGAAACATGTTTGTGGAGCTAAGATAGCTTGTTCCAGGTCCTTAAGCACTTGACCAAAGAAAGGAAGATCGCCTCTTACATGCTCCCTTTGCTGGGTGACTATGGGTGACTTCTGAATATAAGGTTCTTCTCAAATGAGACCCAGAGCATCATAGGATCATAGATGCAGAGATGTAGGACACCTCAGAGAAATGGTCCAATGTTCTTGTTTTATAGAAGAGGAAATGGGTTCAGACAGGTGATTTGTGATTTGTCCATGGTCCCATGGGAGCAGAATAAATGGCAGAGTGGGGATCTGAACTCAGGTCTCCTGACTCTGCTTCAGTGTTCTTTCCACAGTCCCAGGCTTTGTGGGCCAGCATGGTATACATTAACTCAAACGTATTTTTTAATGCATCACCTTATCATTAAATTTCTCTTTAAATGACATTTTGCATCTTCATGTTGTGTCTTCATAGATCGAAAACAAGAAAAAAATTATTTAAAATGTTTCTCTTGACTTCTTTTTTGCAGCTATGCTAGAAATTAATTTTAGATAGTTGACTGCCCCATTGGAATTTTAAAAGAAAAACAAAAAAGCTAAATTAAATTTGATCTGCTCCAAAATTTCCTAATGTGACAATGATAAACATTGAAATCACTGGTAATTGTTTTTCTTACTTAAGAAAATGTAACTAAACTATCGCCAAGGAAACATTATTTCTTTTATCAAGGGGCTTTAAATAGCTTTAGTAGCTAAGTAAAAGTTATAAATAAAGATTGGAAAAGAATGATACATTTTATGTTTCCATGTTATTTGTTGGTTTCCTATGAGATATTGTGATTCCCTGGCTCTGTGGAGAGGGATTTATTCGAGGGGTGGGGAGGTAATTATATGTGTCTCAGCAAAAGTCAGAGTCCTCCACTCCTGATGTGTTACAGCTGTTAAACTGTTAAAACTTTGGTTGTTTCCCAAAAGGCGAGTTAGTTTTGCTTTTCAGTCATTTGAGTCATGTCTGACTTTGGATGATCCCATTTGGGGTTTTCTTGGCAGAGAAGGGAGTGGTTTGCCACTTCCTCCTCCAGCCCATTTTACAGATGAGGAAACTGAGGTAAACAAGGTTAAGGTGATTGCCCAAGGTTGCACAGCTAGTAAGTGTCTGGGACCAGATTTGAACTTAGGGAGAGGAGTCCTCTTGACCCTAGGCCCAGCACTTTATCCATTGAGGCACGTAGCTTCCCAAGTTAGTTTAAAAACATTTTTTTTAATTTTAAAAAGTTAGTTTTAGTCTAACTAAAAAACTTAAATTTAATGATAAAATCTTATATTGATAGCACAAATATAGAGTTTTGAATAAACAGTATGGATTTGTTTTCCCCACTTATGTCCCACCTATGGTAAGGGGGATATCACAGAGTTCTCTAAACCTGGAGAATAAGCTCTAGTAGGTTCTACCAAGTTAGCTTGGCAAATACTGCCTGGCCTTGATGGAGACAGACCAGAACCCTGAACCCAAGAGCCTTGGGAATAGCAAGGCTTCCAGTCCAGTGCCCTCCGTCTTCATCCCCTTAGGAAGCAAGGCCTACAGAGATGCAGCCTGGACCTGCTCCTGCAGGGGCTATAGCCTCATCTGCTGAAGACACAGGAAAGAAAGCTTTTGTCATCAAATGGGCATACATCAAATGGGTGCCCAATGGGTCATCATCAAAAATGGATGTGATTTTATTTGCAGAAACAACGTCAATGAAGGGAGATTGCTGTCTTATGAAGGGAGATTGCTGTCTACTTTGCTGATGTTTCCTAATGGCCATAGGACCTTTCCATCTGACTTCCAGCTAAAATGTATTCTCTCTCTCATTGGATTGTGAATTCCTTGAGAACAGGGACTGTCTCTTCTATTTGCATCTTTCTATGCAAATAGTTTCTTCTGTTTGGGGGTAGCATTGTGCTTTGTATACAGTAAGCACTTAATAAATACTTTATTCCTTCATTCATCTACTAATTTAAAGAAAGGTTGAGCTCTTCATTGATAGATGGAGTATTCACTGTGACAAAATGACTTGTTGTCCATCGGTCAACAAACATTTATTGAGCACTTACCAAGCACTGTGCTAAGTAAGCACTGGAAAACTGGGAATACTGAGGCAAGAGCATGGTCTTTGCCCTCAAATGGGGGAGACAAAGTATAGGAGGCAGAGGAGAGAGGGGAGAGCATTCCAGAACGAAGAACAGATAGGAAAGGGTGTGGAATGTGGAGGGGGAACATCATAGACAAGGAGCAGAACTCCAATGTTGTGGATCATAGAGTATGTGGAGGGAAGGCAAGACCATATCACCACCACCATGATCCACCCTCATGTTCTCAGTAATCTCCAGTGGCTCCCTATCACCTCCATGATCAAATACAAAATGCTCTGTTTGGCATTCAAAGCCCTTCATAACCTGCCCCGTCCTACCTTTTCAGTCTTCTTACACCTTACTCTCCTCCATGTACTCTTGGTTGCAGTGACACCAGCTTCCTGGCTAGTCCACGAACAAGATCCTTCATCTCTCAGCTCCTGTCATTTCCTCTGGCTGTGGGTCCCTTCATGCCTGAATGCCCTCCTTCCTTATCTCCACCCATTGGCTTCTCTAGATTGCTTTAAATCCCATCTAAAATCCTACCTTTGACATAAAGCCTTGCCCAATCTAAATCTAGTGCCTGCCCGCTCTGAATTATTTCCTAGTTAGCCTACAGATAGCTTGTTTATACTTATTTATTTACTTATTTTCTCCCTCATTAGATATCTTTTCCTTCTTTATGTATCCCTAGCTCTTAGTACAGTGCCTGGCACATAGTAGGAGCTTAACAAGTGTTTATTGACTGACTAATTAGAATGTTAAAGTCACTCACAACTGTTATTCTAGAAATAGTTGGACAGAAATGTTCCACATTTAAACTATTTTAAACTTATCTTTCTGTTTAGATTTGAGGTATCCTATTCTGTTATGCTGACCAGCATTGTTCTTTAAGTTATGTTATCTCTTTGAATCTACAGTTGTACTTTTAACTATTTTGGGCTCAGACCAAAAGGTTTAATTTATTTGAATTGGGAAACTTCCCGCAGCGTCACAAAGACCCCATAGCTGGGTTGGCTGCTAGCACCTTTTGTTTTAAGCTAGAACTGGGATTTACTTACCTTTGATGAGTAGTTTGCCATATTTCTCAGATGAGTATTTTGAGGCCTGAGTTGTTGAAGGCTTGGATGTGTGCTCATGGCAAAAGTAGCCTGCAGATGCTAGATAAGAAGAAGGGCCCGAAAAATGTGTGATATTCATAATGCTGTTTACCTGAGCCCTTAGGAAGGCATTTGCAAATGCTTCGCATGCCTTCAGCACCATTGAAAGAGATAACAGCAGTTAAGATATCAAGGGTGACTTAGTTTTGACCATGACGGGAAGCTGAAAAGGGCAAGGTGAAATTCATTAGTCAAAGTTCTGGCATGCTTCTGTCCAGTTATGTCCTCAGACGGTTTGAGGTCTCCTGCAAAAAATGTAATGAAGGGATCCATAAATATTTGTAAATTGTAGGGGAAGTTATTTTTTCCATCCCCCAATGAATAAATATGGGGCTTATTGTAGTAATAGTAGTAGTAGTAATGGCTAATGTTTATGAAGTGCCTACTATGTGTCAGGCACTGTACTTAAGCACTTTACAAATATTATCTCATTAGATACTCACAACAATCCTGGGAGGAAAGTCCTGTTATTATCCTAATTTTACAGTTGAGAAAACTGAGGGAAAGAGAAGTTGAGTGACTCGGCCCCAGGATCACACAGCTAATTAGTAT